GTTTAGTTATTGATACTCATTTTAATATTTTTGTAATAAGTTGACATAAATGAAAAACTCCTGCTTGCTGCATTGTTTTGAAAATCCTTCTCTGTATTATAGTTCTTATTGGGAAATTCATAACAAACCTAAATGATATGTTAATAGATAAAGAATGGAAAGTAACTTACACTGTATTTATGTTGTGCAATTTCACAAATCTATCTAATCTCCATGGTACATTTTACTGATTTTTAAGTTTATTCCTGTACACTGGTAATATAAAGATTAGTCAAGAAAAAATCATGTTTATGGAATGAAACTGAAGAAATGTTTCTCTAAATTACTGGTATTATTATTAATTTCCCACTCCATTACATACCTTATAAATGACAATATTTAACATTTGTAATTCACTCTCAAATGTCCAAAATTTTGACCAATAATGTCACAAAATCATATCACTTAACTTACAAACACATGGAAGAACTTTCTTTTAATACATTAAATGAAGTATTTTTTCATTACCAGGCTACAATTAAAAGAAAATTGAGAAACATCTCACAGTGATGAAATTATGTTTTCACTTTTAAAATGTCCAAGAAGTAAAAAAAGAAAAGAAAAAAAAAGAACAAGATGTGTAACATTTTCCACATATGTCCACCTACTGTCAGAAAAAATGTCATCAATGAAAGACATTTTTCATAAGAAATAGCTTGAGAATTGTCTGTTTGTGCCAAGAACATTTATACACCTCAGCTGTATAGTCCACTTTGTTGCCTGTGATTTGTATCTGGCCCCAACAATTACTTTTTTCAACCAAGCACTTGTTATGAATCACTTGTTAAGTTTTAAGTATTGAAATTGTTTAATAGAAAAGTCCTAATCCAGTAAATCATATAATTACAAATTTATGGCCTTCCGATATGTCTATCATTTGTGGTCTGGCCATCTATAGCTAAAATATTGGACCACTATGCACTTCAATAATTCCTCTATAGACACTTGAATAACACTTGTTACTTAAAATGCACCACTTAATATTGGAGATTGGCTAAATACTGACAAATTTGTAACAACATGATTCTTCTCATTACATTTTAGGACAAAACATTAACCCAGAAAGTATAAAACATGAGAAAAAAGTACTATACTTTCCAACGTATAAAATCGAAGCACTGATCTCTGGTAAAGATGATAAGTTATTTTCTTAATAACCTGACAACATATAAAGAACTTTCACTGACATATCCAGGAACATAATCTGGTTCTCTACAAATATGTCTGTAAAATGAAACATTAATTAGACTGATTTAACTGTTCCCGAGTTCTTAGAGAAAACCTGCAGGGTTGAAATGGTATATAATGATGGTGTTAAAGCAACCACTGTATTAATAAGAAACTTTAATCAACAGGGTAGAAGTTTGGACATCAAATTTCTTAGTATTTTTAGACTGGAGATTTGACAGATGATGTCTGTTGAAAGTTGCACAAAGCTAACTGAGGGCTCTGCACTAGCCATCCCCAATTTTGAAGTGATAGACTAGAGGGAAGGTAGCTAGTCAACACCACCCACTGCCAACTTGTGGGCTAACTTAACTGTGGACTGATGGGTGTAGTTATTGTTTTGTCAGGTTGTACCTTTTTAGAGTATATAGCCATTCAGCTAGAAAACAAATGGAACATGACAGCTCCTGACTTTTTTCCATATCTTAGTTTCAATGAAGAATATTTAAAAATTAAAGTTTAAGTTTCCTGGCCAACTGATGTATGACATTATCACTCTAACTGCATAATAGACCATCTCTTCATATAGGGTTACTTAAAAGACACATCTGATTTGGAAAGACAAGTGGTGTATTATAGTATCACAAATGTTCTACTATATGTGTTGACCACCAACTGCAAAACACAGATACAGATCTAAAACATTTCAGATGTTATAGTTCACCATCATCCATATACTCTGTGTAAGATTATGCTTGTCTGCCAGTTAATAAATAGTGTTGTTTTACCTAATTTCAATAACGACAACTGTAAAAAGTAAAAAATACCTTACAAACTTATGTAATCTAAATGAGTTGGAGTACATACTGTACATATATGTTTTGAAATTACAAACTGACTACTAAATAAACTCATCATCAAACTTGGTAAAAAGGTCCTAATAAACAGTGCCACAAAGAGCTCAGAAACCAATGTAAAGTACATAAATTATAACTCAATAGTTCAGAATTGGTGGCAAATTTCAGTTCACTTATTATAAGAGATATACGACTTATATAAATTCTACCTGTTCAAAATTTTAAGATTCAGAACTGATGGTGAAAAAAAAAGAAGAGACTATTATATGTGAAACATACAATATAGATGGCTAATGACAGAGCAGCTGCTAGACTAAGCATCAGCTATAAACAAATGTTTGTATAATCAAATGTCATGAAACTAACATCAGTAGTTTTGATCAAAGAACAGAAAGTAAACACACTTTACAGAAAATTAGATTGATCTATCTTAGGGCTTTCCCTTATGTTATTTCATTTATTTTTCTTTAAACTACACAAGTTTCAACAAAGAGGGAAAAGAAACCTTCCACTTAATAGACCCTGTTCTAATGAGAGTATCAAACAAAAACAGGAGTCCGAAGTTCCACTGAGTCACAGATCTAAATAAACCTTTAGAAAACCTTCCTGAAAGTTTTAAAATGGTTAGAACTACAGGAAAGAAATACATTTAAAATAAGCTGGATAAAACTGGTGTTGATACATGTAGAGCAAATAAAATTAAAGTATTAAATAAGATTTAACACAAAAAAGGCATGACAGTAAAGCAAGTGGGGACATGCTCGTTTTTGAAAAAAACTGGACAAGAATTACAGTGCAAAACAGTGTCCATAATCAAACATGTGTTTAACTTAACCCATAAAATCTATCTTACAAAATCTGGTGTCCAACAGAGACAAAAGAAACAAACAAAAAATACATATCTATAGTAGTAATAGGATACTAGAGATCTCTACATCTCGGAGACTTGATTTATAATGCAATGAAGCAAAACCATAATAAACTCTAGCTTAAGGTACACAAAATTCAAAGGATAGAAAAGGGAAAACCAATCATATATATATATACTCATGTTAAACAAAAATAATAATAATTGTAACATTTATATCATAAACAGAAAAATGTTTTTAATTTTTTTGTTACATACTGTATAAAAGTTTCAAGAACTTTTTAACCAACTGAAATCTACTTAGTTGAATATTTGTTTTGTATTGTTTCAAATATATTTTGTAACATATAGTTACAGTGAATATTTGTTTTATATTGTTTCAAATATATTTTGTAACACATAGTTACAGTGAATATTTGTTTTATATTGTTTCAAATATATTTTGTAACACATAGTTACAGTGAATATTTGTTTTATATTGTTTCAAATATATTTTGTAACACATAGTTACAGTGAATATTTGTTTTGTAGTGTTTCAAATATATTTTGTAACACATAGTTACAGTGAATATTTGTTTTGTAGTGTTTCAAATATATTTTGTAACATATAGTTACAGTGAATATTTGTTTTGTAGTGTTTCAAATATATTTTGTAACATATAGTTACAGTGAATATTTGTTTTGTA